TTTTGTGCATGTTACGGTTTATCTATTAAACAAAAATAAGGTAAAGAGATGACTTTATAGTTTCAGATTCTTGAAAACAACACAATGTCGGCCATTTATAAAATCACTGAATCGGTCTGGCCCATGTTGTTACGTAACATATTTTACTTAAATCAATTAAAATTAAAAAGAGGTAACTTTTATCTTTAATTAGCTAGGAGCCACCTTGGATCTGTACACATCAGGAAAAACAATTATGTATCAACCTGGTTTTTTATTTAATGCAGTTCACCTATTGATGTGAAACTATGTTACAAGTAATAGCTTTTCAAAAAAGCTTGCCTGACTAATGCAATCAATATCTATAGAACATATAATCATGATAAGTTATTTATATAAACGTTTACATTGGGTGAGGGGTAATTATTTTATTAGAGTAAATTATGAAGACGTCGAACAAAACATCATGCATTAGTTTTAAGTTGTTTGCTACTTATGAAAGCAATGGACAGCCTCGTTTTTGAAAGTGGGGGGGGGGAGCTAGAGAATTTTTTTTTCACTCACCTGCAAAAAAAGGAATATACCCAAAGTTGAAAATCCTATTTCGGAGGGTGGGGGTGAGGGGGGATCACGGGATGGGGGTGGGGGGTAGTGACCAACTTTTTTTCAGTGTCAAGTTCTTTCTGTACCAATTTTTTTAATACCATTAAATACTGCATTTCCCTTTAATAATTTTCCTGTTATATACAGCGAGATCCAACCATTCAATTAACATTTCCTATATATAGTGAAATTAAGGTTGGGAAAAAAGTGGGGGGACACCCCCCCCCCCCCCTGTTGCTACGTGTCTGATGGAAAAGGAACAATAAGATTTTATTTAAAAGGTATATTTTGTATGTGTTAAAAATTGGTTTTGATCTGTTTTTCGTTTGTTGTATAAGGACGCCTGTGGAGTGTTACAAATACTTGGAACTTAGGACCAATGAGCAGTTTCATGTAATCTTTTTCGTGCTACACTGTAACACCTACATCGACTCGGGACTTGGTTTTAAACGGTCTCATCCTAAGAACCGATATCCACGTCCTGCAGTTGATTCGAACCCGCGACGTGAAGCTCAGCTCCTCATTCCGCAACTCTATAAATGGTTTTAGAAGATGTAGTAATTAAATAAGGGAAATGAACTAATGAATTAATGTATGCTAGAAAGCCGTGCCTTCCTAAAGGTTCTATATTAATTTTAAATTAAAATTTAGAATTAGATTCAACTGCAAAGACTACCAGGAAGACAGCTGAGAATATGATAACTACAAGAAATAAATGAATCGTTATGATCAACGATTGTTGGAAACAGCCCGTTATGCATAAATGGACCAACGAACTTGACGGGGATTCCTTATATTCCTCAATCCTGGAATAGGAGGGACTCTTTTCTATTTTCTGTGTTTCATATGAGGAAGAATTTTATCTCTGAAAACGGAGGGGGGGGGGGGGGGGGCTGCGAGTCCGGGTGAGATATGATCAGAAATATTATGTATATTTGGCCAGTTTTCCTCTTAATAACATTTTTTCCGTTTCGTTTTATTTACTTTTAATGATGTAACTTCTAACTTCTTTCACAATATCACCGATATGTTTTTTTCCCCAAAGTTCGAAATTCCGAAGTTTTCATTTCTATTCAGTGCAGTAGAATCATCCACGAAAAGGGCGCGAAGATACACACGTGACATTTGGCGCAAAATGATTGTGACACCCCTTACCTAGAAGACAAATGGACTCATCCAATAGTACAGAAACGCAGAAAAAAGGTCAAACGGACATGTCCATATATGAAATCGCATGAAATAAACAGCTGCGTGCAAAAAAACTAAAGGAAATAAATACATCAATATAGTGTATCAGTAAGACGGTTATTTTTTTTCTGCTATATGTTTTGTTGAAACGGAGGTAACAAATTCCAGTGATAATCAGCATGCACAAAATTTTGCTGGCTAACTGTGACCTCTTCTCTTCGCAACTCGGAAATGTCAATCCTTATACAGCCTGACGCCGTGACGTCAGGCAACAATATTTAAAACAAGAGGCCCATGGGCCCTATAGGTCACCTGAGCATCGATCATGCAACAACTTTCAAATGATTGAATTTGGTTCATGTTTTAAGCTAGATGCTATGGCATTCTCAATTTTGAAAGAGGCATCATTGCTGATTATAACTAAACACTTAGCAATTGCTTAGTTTTGTTACTTAATACCCATAGGCAGGGTAGGGGGACAACATCTGCATTTCAACTTACCAGTAATATTCAGCAATAATCAGTAGTGCCCCTACCACACATGAACCCCCAACCCTAGGTCCAAGCGTTGCATAATTTTTGAAAAGGCACCCTTGCTTATCAAAAATGTTTGATTAATAACAAGGAGCAAATTTCAAACAATTAATTCATTTTTTATTAGAGCCCCCCTCCTTCTATGGTACCCCTTTACCCTCTATGGTACCCCTGACTCAGACGCCTTGAAATTCACAATAAATTCTGGAAGGAGAACTCTTATTCATCATAACTATATAGGTATAAGTTCATCTGCTAAATACCCAGGAGCAAAGAAGATTTTCAAAGATTTAGTGTATTTTCACTAGTATATAATTAATCAATAGAGCCCAGTCCTAAAATCAGAAATGCTGATCCTGGAGCCATAAAATTCACAATTTTGGTAGAGGCACTCTTGCTCATCATAACTATTTACTTAGTTAGTTTATTTAATTCCTAGGAGCAGAGAAGATTTTCAAAGAATTAATGCATTTACACTATACACTGTACAATCAACAGAGCCCCACCCTAATCAGAACCAGAGCCCCTGAACCCCAGGCCATAAAATTTACAATTTTGGAAGAGGCACTCTTGTTCATCATAACTGCATATATGTACTTAGTTCTTTTATTTAATATCCAGAAGCAGAAAAGATTTTCAAAGAATTAATGCATTTTTATTTTGTATAATCAATAAAGCCCCGCCCTAACATAACTTATTCCAGGGCCAGTAGGAAAAGTTGTGACGCACGACGACGGACGAAAACGGATAGCAATTTAGGTCAAATGAGTGACTCTCATCAATATGAAGTTTGATGAAAATATCTTAGTTTCTTTTAAACTGAGCTTTGAACTGAGTGAAATGCAAAGTGTGTCAGAAGAACAGACCGAAGGACAGAAGGATGGAAGGACAGAAGACAGACAAATCAAACACTATATGCCCCCGCCATATTCATAGTGGACAATAAAATTATAACATGCTATGATTGTCGATTAGCGATGATATTCATGATGGACATTGAATTTTCAATGTTAGTTGAGATTAATAACACAAATTCTAGTCGGCAAATATTATTTTCAATCGGCTTGGTTCAAGTGTTATTAATTTTAAGTCTGTATCAAAAAAATTCATCGAAACCAACAGGGGTTCATAAAACCTACAGGAAACGAAATTGATAACGAGTTATATTGGGTAAGTAGGAAATTCAACATTTTGAAGGAATTTGATTCAGTAAGAAAGTTTTCATATTTCCTAAGCAGACTTACACATCATGATATAACTGAGATACGTCTACAATATTATTTTCACTTGTCAAATTAGAATTGTAGATGTCTGAGCTTGACCCCCAATACCTATCGAGAGGAAGCTCCTTCTCTATCCACACTTTGCACTTCAGGTTAAATCTGCGACTTCACACTAGCCTACACATTTAGCAGAAAGGAATATACGCCACTAAAAATGGACTCCATTAGAAGCTCACAGACGTAAGTTTTAATGACAAGAATTTATAACTCTAAAACAATTCCTAATTCATCTAAATCACTGTAATTTGTAGACAGTAAAATTTTTACACCACCGAATTTAAACCTTACCCTAGACACTTTAATTTATAATGACACGCAAAAGAAACGCAACACCCTATTTAGGGGGAAATGATTATGTAAAGTAAAAAAAATTGTATCTTAAAATTACGGATATCTTCAATTTGGTAAACATCAGTAATTTAACGGTTAAACGATTTTCATACCATAACCGGAAGTCAAGTTTGAGTCTGCTTAACAGAAATAAAAATTTGTATGTTTAACAAAACACTTGGCAATATTATGGAGTTTTAAGGGTTTTTTTTTTACTGTTCATCATGAGTAATGCAGCAATATTTCAAAAAATGAACTCTCTTTTCATTTACCGTAAGGATGCTAAGGCTTCTTGAAAATGGCTTAAGTATGCATTTTCATTGAAAATAACTGCAATTTTCAATGTAAAGGTGATGGAGAGTTGTTGGTGCAAAAAATTCCCTATATTACGTCTCAACAGGGTCTTACGTATCATATGCATTAAGGACAGTCCTTGTACCGGAAGTCCAAGGGTGGCTACACTGCTCTAAGTAGGAGAAAATTCGACCTTATCATCTGAAAAACTGGCATTTAAAAATGGCTAAGAATAATTCCTTCGATCAGATCTCGATATTGATGAACCTACTGTATCGTAGAAATTAAGCTGTAAGTGTTGTTTAGGGCAGTCTTGAACGTTTTACTTGAATAGCTAGGAGGGGTTTTTTAACTGTCATATGTTACTTAGTAAAGTAAAAAGATAAACATTTAACATTTTCATCATTGTTGTTCTGAAAAGTGAGTTTAGCCTTTCTGTATTCATTTTTGAAAATCATTAGATAAAAAAATCAAACATCAGTAGATCACTGCTTGTTGCGTTTCTTTGCGTTTCAGTATATAAATTTCACTATTTAAAAAAAATGAATGATTTACAAATGTAGTTGAGTTGAAAAATATCAGATTCAGTTGAGGAAGTTTTTTTTATTTTATGATTTACATGTATGAATGTAAAAAAAATTTATTTTTGATTAAGAGAAAATATAAACTGTCAACATTTCTTTAAAAAAAATCATAATAGTTTATTAGGCATTATATTATAGATTTACAAAAGTGAAACATTAATTATACAAGAAATAAATTCCACTTTAATCATTCTCAGTGAGACAGCCATACAACGTATATCAGAGTCAGTGTTCGTGGGACTGTGTCTTAAAGTTGGGACCTCACAACAGGTGGCCATGAGGAGAGATACGGTGGACATCAGGGAGATGGTGAGAAATCGAGTGATAACAAGTGATGAGTTCAGAGAGATGCTGAGTGGAAGTTATGGAGAAGGATTCAGACTGATAGGATCAGATATAGACATGATGTACTGGCCAAATAATCGCCGTGTGATCTGGGACTTATCTCACTCTCAGTATTACAACACACACAGACTAAAACTGATCCTCTGTGACTGTTCTGATAGTCCACCAGGATTTACTTTGTTATATTTACTGTCACCAAGCATGAACAGATTAATCCAAAGAGAGCGTGTTAGAATGAATAATAGATATTATATATCTAGTTCTAAAGTCAGACAGATCTATTTATCTGCAATCCAACAACCTTATAACCCCACTCCACATGGACCCTGTGTCAGTGGAACATTTGGAACACTAGAATATGATTATGCCTCCTGTTTTGTTAGTGACTTTTGGCCTCCATCTGCCTTTTCATGGACACACAGATGTCACTCATGGCCCCAGCCCCATGTTGTTGATGATATAGTGAAAAATGGATGTCACTTTGTAGCAATTGGACATAAGCTAGGAGGACATGAAGACCATGAATGGAGAATTTCTTTCTCCCGGGCAGAACAAAAACTTGTGTTTGTAATGAATCACTGTCAATTCTTAACTTACGCCTTACTTAAATTGATCTTAACAGAAATAATTAACAATGGAGTAAGTGATGGTGATAAATTACTGTGTTCCTATCACATGAAGACGGCAGTTTTCTGGGTGATTCAACAAAATACAATACCTCATTGGTGTCCACAAAATCTCCTGGGGGGTTTCTGGGTCTGTTTTAAACTCATCCTCAAATGGGTGTATGAGGGGATATGTCCTAACTTTTTCATTCCAGGCAACAACATGTTTCTGAGTAAAATTTATGGCATCAAACAACATCAATTATTTATAAGACTGTCAGAATTGTATGAGAAGGGTTTAACGTTCCTGCTACATAGTCCCTCCATTAGATCTTATATTATAGATGTCCTCTATAACCCCAGAAACTCCATCTGTACAGATGATCATACTCTGATTTCTGTGGCTGAGTTTGATGAAAATCTATTTTATGAAACATTACTTCATAGAATAAGACATAAGTTGGACATACAAAGCTGCATTAGATGTCTACATACAATAGAACAGATGATAGGATCACCCCTCCTGACACAGTATCAAGTCTTTATGCTACAGAACATTACTGCTACCTTCCTTCAGACCACTGCTTTTATGTTACACACGGAAACTTACACACATGACAACAAACTGAGTTATAGAGCTGACAAAATGTCCTGTCACATGCTGAAATTAGCAGCCAAGTTTGGTTGTATTACAGACATGCTGTACATAGCAATGTATTATTACAAGACACTTAGATACATGGAAGCATTATATATTATAGAGATGATCAAGGTCAAGTTAGCACAGCTATATGTGATGTATTGTTATAATGTAGATACAGAGATGTATACTGAGGCTGTAGGGGGACAGTCCTGGTCTACAAAGATGACACAGGCTGTAGTAGGGGATATCACACTGATCAATAAAATCCATTTTATCAGTGAACTGATACCTGAACAACAGTGTGCTCTACAGAACCACCGGTTTTTTTTACTTGTACACCCCGTGGTATTGTTATACATGCTCGAGATCTTGTGCTACAGACATGTTGACACAATGCAAGCACAAACAGCTCTAGATGATCTACAGACCTTTGTTCACTGTTATCAGGGACAGCTTATATGTTATCTTACCAGAGACATATCGTGGCAAATTCTGGGGATCTGTCAGCAGGTGACAGGGAACCTCCAGGCTGCTCTATACTCATACCAACAATCTCTCAGAGAAGTACCATACCACAACATACAAACAGCTACAGAAATGAGAATACAGAGAGTCTGCCAATGGAATCCCTTAATTAATTAAATATCAGATGATATTTGAAGGAGTTCACCTGATAGAGATTATCATTTACATATCCTCTTCTGATTTCATATTATACATTTATTGCATGATAGTGAGGGAAATATGAAGACTTATTCAGCCAAGAAAAATCATATTCCCCGAGCTGTGTCTCATACCAATTACACAATTTACCGAAGTTGCTTACCTTCTCTCTTATAATATATAGTGGGGTATTTTTTGTGGAACGATTATTTTGGGGTTTTGGTGATTTGTTCCTATTGCAAACATGTTGAATAAGTGAACTAAATATAAATTGTGAAAAAAATGTCAAATAAGTCCCGGGTTGAATATCGGGGGTGGGGGGGTGGGGGTGGGGGGGGGGGTCCTGTTCACAAGTACCTGTGATAAAAACCACAACGCTACAGTTCCAGCATTAAGTAGCACGCGCACCTGTTTGACTATGATGACATTGTTGACAGTGACGGTGTCACAAACTTTAAAAAACGATACATAGGGCCTATAAATTCAACAAGCTATACATGCCGGTTGAGTTAGATTGAAAACCCTGTAAAATTTACCTAATAAAACCATCGTACGTAAAGGAGTCAGTGATAGTATGTGTGTAAAGGGGGGGGGTTACCTGTACGTACCGCTGTACAGGTGACCTGTGTGTCACGTCCGTTTACCTGTTTACGTCTCTGAGTGTATCGGACGTTGAACTTACCTGTAGCGTTGAGGTCACAAGTCAGGAAACAAAGGTGTATAAATATCAGACTCAGTAAGACAATCCCACTACATGTACCTCGACTGCTCACCATTCTTCGTAAACTTCAGGAACTTTCATCTTTCAGATTTTGTGTTCATACACCTACATTCAAAAGATCAGAGCAAATATTTATGATGTATTATTTTTCAATCTAACAAAGATTCATACCGAACGGAATGATTTTTAACGAGCAATTTTTACATTTGATGATAATAATCCTGGGTTGCTAAAGTGCATCAATAATTCGTCGCGAACTATTTTCCTTTGCGGATGTTTTGTTTATGCAGCATCCCACTACAATGCGCACCTCTCTCTCTCTCTCTCTCGTCAAAACCGATGTGTGAAGAATATTAGACGACTAGGCGCGCATCAAGAAATTTTTTCCAGAGGGGTCCATCCACCACAGTCTAAAAAAAAAATCCAACCCAGGAATTTCTTGACAAGCAAAGAAAAAAACTAGCCCAAACGTTAAGAACCTATTTCGGGGGGGGGGGGGGGGATAATCGATGACTTCTAATGCTTCTCATACCAATTTTTTTCCAATGTGTTTTCCAAGGGGGGGTTCAAGGTAACTTTTTTCTTGCTTGAGTTTACAAATACAAGTATTTATTTTACATAAACACAATTACAATAATTGGCAAAGGCACATCATCAATTGTTCATTATATTTAAACAATAAAGATTTAATAACCTTGCAATTCCAAGGGTACTGACCCCCTCCCCCCTCTAGATCCGCGCATGCAGGTGAAATACATTGTGGGGAAAGTGCTTTCGTAATTACGTTTTTATTGAAATAATAGGCATTTTTTTTTTAGAAAATAGCAGTCTTGTTATAGACTCTGAACTCCTTTCTCATCTTAAATTACCTTAAAGATTTAAAATTTTATTTTTTTTGACTGACTAAAAATAAATCTGTCAAGGATTAATAAAAATAACCTTCCCATCTGCTCGTGTGTTCTAAAGATTCTTTAATCATTTGTTTGCATTGATTTTTCTTCCTGAGATCCTATTTTATACTATTTTATATTGTAAATATATTCACTGGATATCTGTGATATAATAAATTTTTTCGTCTAGATGCAGAATATATGGTGTCTTTGCATTAAAGAAGAAAATAAGATATGAAAAAATATGATGCCTTAACACAGGTGAATTTATCTTTATTTAAAAGTGATTAGTTGTGTAAAGAAGATGATATCGTCTCAGTATGTAATCAAACATTGGCGTCGGAAGCAAATTAAGGGGGGGGTAAGTATAAGAAATTTTTTTTTAGACTTCCAAAAGGAAATGCGTAGAAATGTCCATTGTCCAAACACGTAAATCTATTCCGTGGGGGGGGGGGGGATTTATAGACTCGAACTTCAGTACCATTTTTTTTTTCAAACAGCACCACTTTCCCAATTTTAAACCTATACTGCAACGTGTCTGTGGAAAGTATTGGGGGTTAAACCTACGCAGCAATGTTCAATGTCTATACTAAGTTTATCTTTGGAAAAAAGGAGGGCATATAGCCCCCCCCCCCCCCCCCCCCGTTCCGACGCCTATGAATAAAAATTTATGGGAAAAGTTTTTATCACTCATTTTTATGGGGAACGTCATCAGAACTCCTCTGGGTTTACTGTTGAATTAAACAATCAATCTTGATTATGTTGTTGTTTATGAATAATTTACTCCATACCCTCTACTTATTCTTGGATACAATTTTACATAGATATATGACATTTTGATGTATCTTAATTTTTTTTAAGGTAGAACCTATGTCGGAAAAATCTTTGTCACAAGATTTTTAAACTTTTCAAAATGATGAATTAGTACTTGCTTATCAATCAGTTAAATGGTCTTGATACGTTTCCTTGTTGTGCCCCTGTAAACGAAGTTTCGGGGGTACATATTTTTTGTCGTGTCCGTCCGTCTGTATGAAGGATATGGAGATAACGTACAGTATTCAGTCTCAAAGTCCATAAAACAATACAAAATAAGAGCAGAGGAAATACGGACCCCCGAAACATCAGAGGTGGGATAAGGTGCCATGGAGGAGTGAGCATCCCCTGCCGACCGGTCACACCCGCCGTGTGCTCCTTGTCATGATCAGGAAATAACGGAAAAATTCGTCGTCAATTCAGTGTAGAAATAATAGACAAACAATTGGTATGAAAAACGTCAGTCAGCATTTCATTCAATGATAAATTGTATTTGCTGACAAGGTCATTGTATCGACCATAGAACTTACGAAATGATGACGATACTGCTGATATTTTTGTTTCATCAACTTACTTGTCAATAATTTACCTCGTTTTAGAATTTGTTCATACGTAGAGCATGCTCTTGAGTATCGAATCAACTGAGATATATATGATCCGTATGCATGTGATGAAGGTATATTGCTGTATAAGTAAGGGAAGTTGACGATAGAAAAGTTAAAGTCATCACGTTTATCATATAGCTTGGTTGTTAGATTACCATTAGTGTCTTTTTCAAGTAAAATATCCAAGTATGCAACAGAAGTGTCGGACTCTGTGGTATCTTTTATCGCAAGCTCACCAGGATAAATCGTATCGACGTAGGTATAGAAATTACCATTATTAATTGACAAAACGTCGTCGATATATCTAATTGAAGGCCATAGCAAGAATATAAAAATAAGTCTCTTACTAACGGAGCGCAATTTTTACCCATGGGACTTCCGATAGATTGTTGGAATACCTGGTCTCAAAAAACCACAAAGATCTTGTCAATCAGAAACTCAAGCATCTTGGTGTCAACTTCAGAGTACTTATGTTTGCAATCAGAATCTGTTTTAACAAAATAATTTGGAAATGACCAATGAAGAGGTAAGTAAATTTACGAGTTCCATTTTCATTGAAGAAGCAGCTGTCAATGATATCAAAAAGCCTGGAATTTAATTTGTCGTGGGGAATTGTTGTGTATAAAGTTGAAAAGTCGTAAATTGTTAAGCTGTTGATTTTTGTAAAGTCTTGTGATTTCAAATTATCCAAAAGTTCTTTAGAATTTTTTAGTATCCACATCTGATTCACACCACTTCTTGAATATATAGTTGTACAGTACTCTTGAAGTGTTTCCTTCACTACTGTCAATATCTTATTGAGGAGTAACGAAAGAGGCTTGGCTGAACATTTACTGGAACCTGCAATGTATCTTTGTTTGTAAGGATTCTTATGAAGTTTTGGAATCCAATATATATAAGGGAGTTAAAATTCATTTTGGCTCTGTGGAATATTAAAAGTATTCAAAACTGACAGGCGATTTTGAAGAATATCTCAGCTCCAATTAGTCCCGAAGTAAAGAGTTAGGGATACTAAAGTACTTTTTGGCTTTCTCACATTTCATGAAGCTCTTAGCATGAGTCACTAAAAAATTTAAACTAATATAGTTTAGTGCAATTAGAGTGGTTTGTCCTTTTGATGAAAAATAGAAATTCAGTAAATTACATAATTAAATATTAGACCACGCATACGATAACATGAATGAACAAGGTGTGTTTGTGAAACACTGATGCCCACGTATGCATCGTAATTTAGCGAAGATTAAACTTTTCTTAAATGTAAATTTAATATATTGGTACCAAAGTAGGGTATTCTTACTGGAAATACAATTGTAAAATATGAAAGTAGGACAATGCTTAAGTTTTCCCATAAGTACGGAAATATCCAAGGTCAAAGTCAAAAGATCAAGGTAATTGGTATTTAATGAAAGCCTTGCCACAAAAATGGATATGTTAAGTATGAAGCTCTAAACCTTCAAAAGTTATGACGAAGGATAAAAATTTTTAAAAGAAGACCAAACTCCAAGGTCAAAGGTCTTGCTAGCAAATGAAAGGTCTTGTCATTAGAAATAAATATATAAAGTATGAAAGCACTAGCCCTAAACCTTTGTAAGTTATGGTCAATGTTTGTTTTCTAAAAGTAAGACAAACTCCAAGGTCAAAGGGTCAAAGTTCTTGGTATCCAGTGAAGGGTCTTCTCACAAGGATTACTTATGTGAAGTATGAAAGCCCTATCCCTTACCATTCAAAAGTTATGGAAAAAGGTTCAAGTTTTTTCATATAAAGTATAGAAATCTCGAAGGTCAATATCAAAAGGTCAAGGTTGTTAGTATCCAATGAAAGGTCTTTCCACAAAGAATACATATGTGAAGTATAAATGTCCTGGTATCTACTGTTCAAAAGATATGGCCAACCACCCATAGGCAAATGTTGGGGTCAGAATATAAATAAAAAATTCTCAAAGAGACATACAAACATGTCCATTCCAAGCTTCCGTATATCAGTACTTTCATTTTTTAATCTGATAGTAACCCAAACAATATCTAAAGCAATAGCTGCTAAGACTGTTTGTAAAGTTTGAATTGGCATTTCAGCATTATTTTACACT